GTCCTTAGGGACTAAGTAAAGCGCTATACAAGTACAGGCCATTTACCATTTTACCCTAGAAATCCTTCAAAGGGAGATAGGCCTGAAGTGGAGGAGGTGAGAGAGTTAAAGTTAGGTGCATAAATATTTGGACAGAGACAATTTTTTTTCTAATTTTGTTCTGTACGTTACCACAATGAATTTTAAATGAAACATCTCAGATGCAGTTGAAGTGCAGACTCTCAGCTTTATTTTAGTTTAGTGAACTAAAAGATTGCATAAATATATGAGGAACCAATGACTTTTTAACACAAACACTTCATTTCAGGGGCTCAAAAGTATTTGGTCAAAATTAATAAAACAATGTTCTTTTCTAATACTTGGTTGAAATACCATTGCTGGCAACGACAGCCTGAAGTCTTGAACTTATAAATTTCACTAGATGCTGAGTTTCCTCCTTTTTTTAATGCTCTGCCAGGCCTTTAATGCAGCGGCTTTCAGTTGCTGTTTGTTTGAGGGCATTTCTGTCCAAAGTTTAGTCTTCAGCAAGTGAAACGCATGCTCAATCAGGTTAAGATCAGGTGACTGACTTGGTAATTCAAGAATATTCCACTTCATTGCTTTAATAAACTGCCAGGTTGCTTTGCCTATATGTTTTGGGTCATTGTCCGTCTAAATTATGAAACCCCACCCAATCACTTTGACTGCATTTAGCTAGATTTGAGCAGATAGTATGTCTCTGAACACCTCAGAATTAATTTAGCTGCTTCTGTCCTGTCCTGTGTCACATCATCATCAATAAACACTAAGTCTCAGGGCCACTGGCAGCCATGCCCACACTGCCTCTTAGTACCAAAGTGTAGAATTTGCCACTCCTAATATTGTAGCCATTTCTCTTTTTGTTTTTATCTGTTTTGGCATCTTAAGCATGGCTTGTTTCACATGCATGGAGAGCTCTTTTGACCCCATGTTGTCTATTCACAGCAAAACCTTCTAAATGCAAGCACCACACCTCAAATTGACTCTAGAAGGGGATCGCTGTACCTCCTGTGCACCTCGATCACTGCTGCAGGGTTTGGAGGCAGACGAAATCAGCCTTCCTTCACATTGCTCAACACAACCACCGCCTTGCTGACAAAACGGGGTCCTCAGCTCTGTTTCACAGTAGGTCAGAGGTTCCGGCTGTCCTCTACGGACGTTGCTTTGAAGTGCATGTCTAAGAAACTGGCTCCCTGATTCTCAGGTCCTTCTTAGATTGAAAACATCATCAGTCCTGTTGCTGTACGGTCAAAGTTGCCTGCTGCCGTGATCCATTCCACTTTCCATGTTTTTCAGTTTAAGCCAGTCTCTTCTAGTCCTCTGTCCTGTTTAATCTTTTCTTGTGTGTTGAAAATAAACATTTTAATATTCTTATTGCTTGTCTGGGTCTGCTTTCTGGGTCCAGCTTGAGCCTTGGTTATGATAAATACCATATGTCAAGGGAAAAGTTTGTACTCCTGGTGCTTCATGGAACCTGACATGACAGAAGGTTTATCCTGTGTGGGATAAAAGGTTCAGTTGAGTGATAGCTGTTGGATAGAAGCTGTTCTTTCATCTGGCAGTAGGTGAATTCAGTAACCTGTGCCGTTTGCCTAGAGAGGGGCAGAGGGAAGAGATCAGTGGATGTCCTCCAGAGGCGGCAGAGGCTGGCCAGTGATGTCCTGAGCAGTTTTTATCACCCTCTGGAGAGTTTCTCTGTCTGCTGCTGAGCTGTTCCCAAACCAGACAGTTATACAGTACAACAGGATGCTTTATATTGAGAGTAGAAATGCTCTAATAGATTTGCAGACAGGTGGGGCTTCTTCAGTATTCTGAGGAAATAAAGTCCCTGTTGTGCCTGTTTTATAATAGGAGCACCATTCGTTGTCCATTTAAGGACCTCATTGATGGCAACTCCCAGAAATATAAAGCAAGCACCCCCTCATCCTCCTCACCTCCAGATTCCAGTGGCCTGAGCGCCCCTCTCTGTCGCCTGAAATCAATGACTTCTTTTGGTTTTTTA